GGAGGTAAATGCTTCACAGACACACAGACAAACAGCAACAGAAGCTTCTCCACTGCCTCTTCCTCCTCCCGTGGTACCAGTTAACAGAGCCTCTTTCTCACCAAACAGTGGCACCCATCTAGTACCATATTCATTGCCAACGCTTGATGATTTTTTGCCTTCACGCTTTTATAAAACCCCAGCCCTTTCACAGTTTTCATATAAATACCCATACCTAGCTTCTGAAAGTATTATCCACAGGAACGAAACAGCCTCTGTAAACACAGATTCTGCCATGAGTGAGTGCTCCTCCCGCACAGTGAGTGAGTCCTCCACAGCCATTCTAGATGAGCTGCAGACTTGTAGCTATGATACTACTGACTGCTCTGAAACACCTTCCCCAACCTTGAGCCAGATGTCTGCTGTGTCTGATGGCACCACCTTAACCAACACTGCTGCCACTTCTCATGTAATTATGCTTCCTTTCTTCCTCCTCAATTTGTTCATACAGGTTGTCAAAGAGGAAAAGAATTCAAACTTGTCTGTTGTCCCATTACACAGACAAGTGTTCTGTTAGTATTTTTTTGTGTGTGTTTGTAGTCTGACAGTATGTTTTGCAACAGTTGTTAAAAAAAAGTCATTGGCATAGCAGCTTTGGTAACAGGAAAATGATACTAAGTTGTTGTACAGTTGTATGGTCAGCTAAAGGTGTATCAAACACTTTGATTAAAATAAATGAAAATAAATTCAATAAATACCTGTTCCAAATGCATTAACATCAAGCAGTATGTAGAGTTTGAAGAGATTTGTTTAAAATATTGATAACAATATTTACTTAATAGTTATTATATTAATAATTTTTATTTGCTGTGGAGTTTGTAGCCTCTGGGCTACCACTATTTTTGGTTTATACCGAGCTACGGATTTCAATAATACAACTTTCAAATTAATAGTAAATGTTGGCAATATTTAATGCAGTTTTTTCCCCAGCCATGACCACTGACTGCACGAAACTGTTTTTCTCTCCTCTAACCTTTTCCTCTCCTAAGCACAGTTTCTTATAGGAGTGAACTTCATAATCTTGTAGTACCCAGGTGTCCTGTTACTTTTGTCTTGGTTAAATCAAGGAAAAAAAACAGCATGCAATTAGACGTTTTATATGTACATTCACTTTTCTGTACCTTAGTACACTCATATATGGGTAGAAAGAAGGTACGGAATTTGGGTCAAATCCAGATCACTTCTGATTTCTTTTGAGATTATCTGCATGACTAAAATGAGTCAGAACAAAGCTTTCATTTAAATTGAGCAGTTTGTTGCTGAATTGCGAAGTAGAAAGATGTTTTGAGACCAAAGTTTTACTGGGCCTCAACAGTGTTCAAACTTTATACAACTCCTTGAGCATGTTACCATTTTCAAGTCTGAAAAGAACAAATAGTGTATGTATTTTTTAAAGTTTCATCTATATTTTACTACAACTCTTTTGAGCCCAAACTTGCACATAGTCACCCGGAAAGTCAGTGCTCTGGATGCTGTTAAAAAAAGTAGTATTAATAACAAGCATGTAAAAGCTGTCATTCCTAGTTCTTGTAACAGTTCTGTGACTTTTTTTTCTTTTTACCTTTTTTTTTTTTTTTTTTAGAAGAGTCAGTACTGTGAATCTGCATACAGCAGTTGTAACCAAAAATACCAGAACTGGTACAGTCTGGTACATGTACATGAAGCAAAATCACTACATGACCATTTACTAGCTATGGGAAGCACAGAACATTTATATTTTCTTCTAAAATAATCAGCTAACTCTTTTTGTTTTCTTTAAGCAGTATTTTTGCAAGCTGAACTGAACAGTCCTGCCTTCTTTCCTTTTTCGGATAGTCTCCCTGTAGAGAGATATGTTATGGTCAGATATGACGACCACTTTCTCTCTTACACATGGCAGGGATGAGCATAACAGTTGTTCAGCATTAATTGACAAAGAGAAAGGATGAGTCTCCCATCAAAGGAGAAAAATCCCCAGACAATCTTAACAGCCCCCCAGAAATTAAACTGCTGGCAAGACCCCACCCTCTGCAGTGTAGAAAAGTCTTCATTTCCCACCCTCTGTAGAGAAGGGTCAGATGACTCTAAATTTATATGTGAAACGAGAAAATGATGGGGAAGCTGGTGATACACACACACGTGCTTCTAGTGGCTCTACTCCTGTAATGATCTTCACTGCCAAAGGAGACTCCTGTTGTTTGTGTAGAGGAAAATCACTGAGAGAACAACAAAAGTGACATAGGATTGTGCCACCCAGCACGGTACCCGCATAAGATGGAAACATGCTTTCAAAGACATTATATCCACATTGGAGATGGTTGTTAATTCTTGAGGTCCTTAATGAGAGCTTAGGCAGAAAGGCTTTCTGAGAAGAAGAAACAGTGTCAGGAAGAGCTGAATCAACAAAATTGTAAAATGTTCCAGGCAAAAGGCAGAGCTAAACATAAAACTGTGGTTTATTTGCCATACTTTTAGTCACAGATTACAGCTTCTTTGAAAACCTGAAGTATGAAAATCGTAATTCTTATTTGGGCTTATGCTTAGAATTGGAGTTATAATCAGATAGCTGCTGGTTTTGGAAACTATTTTTTTTGATTCTATTCCAATTACGAACATTTCCCTTATAAAGCAGTTTTCATGGGTTCTTTATGGGTTCTTTTTTTTTTCTTTTTATGTAATTTAAAGTTGTGGAATCTAGTGGAAACTTGGAAATGGAAGTACATATTAGATTTTTGCCTCTTCCCAAGTTCCAGGACTGTCTTGAGCTTCAAGAATTGATTCTGAGTATTTTAGCCTAATTCAACATGTGGAGGCTGTGCAGCATGGCTGCACAAAATTGCCCAGACATCTATAATGGGACCTTTTTACCTTTGCTGCCTGCCTCAGCAGAGGGAACCTTAGAAAACCACTTCAGTCTCAAAGAGGTGCTTTTCTCTGCTCTGATTCAGAAGTCCAGAGACCTGCTCTTTCTGATGCTCAGGCAAATTAAAGGAAGCTCAAATCTGGTACCTAAGAGGAATCTTTACAAGAGACTGATTACCTAGAAGCAGAAGTAGTAGGCTCTGCTAGCAGATAAGCACGGTGTAGTGAAGGAAAAAATGGAGGAATTTAGGGAAATGAACAGCATGAAAAAGATGAGGCTTGTCTTCCCAGTAGACTGGGAAATAAGTGCATTTTGGTGAACGTTATTTTCTGTATCATCTTATTTTCTCACACAGGAGATCACCTAGGAAAGTGAAAGTTCTTGTTCACAAATAGCCATTTGAAAGATTTCATTTCCTTTGCTTCCTTAAAAGCGAACCCAAAAATACTGTATATGGACATGCCATGGATCCATTTATGACTGATGTCCATCAGCTACTTGTGTGGATCCTCTTTCCATCATATTGTGTACTACTTAGTGTAAGAACCTTATTGTCTAACCCAGTTACTTGGTAAAGCCCCGCACAGGAATATTTTAATTTTTTATTACAGTAATTCATAGGAGTTGCTTTCCAGTCTACAAAGAACTTAGGCTAATTCTGCTCCTGTCTTCAGTGAAACAAAAGCCATACAAATTGAGTAAGAAGGTGTAAAGAATTCTTTTGTAGGAGAGGATGGTGTGAGAAAAGCCAACTTAATTAACATTTTGGTTCTTGACCTTATTGAGGAAATACTTAAGCACAAATTTTTAATGGAGACATCACCACAACATAAACCCTTCAGCTCAGTTCTGAAAACAGGCATCCTTAAAATGAGAAACCCTGAATGCGTCTAGGAGTTCACATGATGTCTGCATAGGAGCCAGAATTTGGTTTGCTCTCAGCTATCAGAGGCTGAGGCATTAAAAATTTCAAATCAAACCAGTAATCTCCAAAACACAAATGTATACAAGAGGTCATGAACTATTTCATCTTCACATGAAAAAATAATGTCTATTAATACATTTTTTACTTAATGTTTTGCTGCTTCAAGTAGTGTTATGTTTTATATCTATGGCAAGTTTTAGTTGGGGGTTTTTGTTATATAAAATTGAGCAAAGCGTGTAGCACTTCTGATTTTGTTCAGATTTAAAGAGGGTTCTGCATTAAAAGAGATGTCACAGAGAATTTCCCTCCCTTTTCTGCTGAAACATTCACCACTCTCTAATTTCATTCAGTGCTTTCTGAATATCTCTGGTTTGATCCTTGCAATACTCCCTGTAAAAGTGCTACAGCCCAGATGTGGGGATTCTAAACCTGGGGACAGGGAAGCAGATTGTTTCAGAAGTACCTCTTGTGACTGAAGCCTAAATGGCTTGTGATGCTGCTATACTGCCAGTTTACTTAGCTTCCTCGTTTTATTTACTTGATTTCGTTCTGTTGTGGGGTTTGTTTGGGGTTTTTTATTGGTGTTTTTTTGGTGGTGTGTTTTGTTTGTTTTTTTTCTTTTTGTGATAGGTTACGTATCAGCATCCCATAATCACTCCTTCTGGCATCCATTTTTAAAAGAAGCTTTGGCTCACTCTTTTTAGCTAGTCTTAATGAGACTTTTCCCTTTGGTCTGCACAGAAATTCCCATTAATCCCCATAGGGCTTGAGTGTGTGCATTAAGGGAATATGTCTCTTGGAGTGAGTCATATGTGGCAAGCAGCCTTTGTCACACAATGAGAGGGACTTTTAATGCCATCTTCATTTTATATTGCTGTCAAACCTCATCACACCTTACGTGTTCCATCTTCATTGCCTTGACCATGGTCTCTCTGTCATCTTCCCATAATTTCAGCATGCTTCACATACAGCACATACAAGGAGAGAAAAGGGGAGGTACAAGGTATAAAAGGAACACATTCTGCTCCCCTTGTGATGAGTTTTGTGTTTCAGTGAATGCAGATACCATTATGACTAGGGGTTCTGAGAACCGGTAATCGGTGTGCAGATGAGAGTCTTGCATCGCTCTTTGTTTGGATGACAGTCGGAGGGCTTTGTGTGTAGTTTAATGGCATGTTGTTTTATTTCTCTCAGGCTCAGATCACAGTGAATGGGAACTCTGGCACTGCTGCCAGCCCAGTGAGTTACTTTCAAAGGCCTTTTTCCCCTTCTTCAGCTTACCCTCCACCAGCTTCGCTCAATTCCAACATTGTTATCATGCAGCATGGCAGGATGATGGGTAAGCCTCACACAGAATGTTTGCTTTCTACATTATGCAACATATTCCAATTCACATGGCAAAGACTGCAAACAATTGCAGAGTGCTTCAGATCCATAATAAAGGTTTTGTCTATTCATCTACCTTGGGAAGTAAATGCAAATAAATAATAACATTTATTGTTAGATACAGTAGTGATCCTGAAATGGAGTTATTATTAAGTTTTATTACTTATATCTCTGAGAGTGACCTCTTGCCACCTTTCTACTAGTTTTGCCAAGTAAAGAGCATATATCAGAATAGCTCAACCTGTGCAGCCCCTTCAGATTTTGCCTCCTTCAAGAAACCAATGGCCAACTTTGTGCAGTTTTTCCCCAGAACTTCTATAATCTTCAGTAGCAATGCTGCCAACAAAGGGAGGGGCTCCAGGCTTTTAAACACCTAAAGTTATGTCAATCTATGATTAGTTATGTATTTTTATAGGGCATTGGTTGGGTTTTTTTAAAAATGTATGATCAGCCTTAGAAGGGCACTTTGCCGCTGTAACCCGGTTTGCCAGAACAATCATTTGCTTGCTGCTTTTTCTACCAGTGTTTTGCATATTCAGATAAGACTATACAAGCAAATAATTTGAATGTGATCCCAGAGTTTACTCTTTTGTTTTGTGTGTGGGGAAATTAGGTGACAGCCTCACTCTGAGACTTCGGCTTACACAAATGCTGCTATCCCTACCACAGCAATAAGTACAAAAACTGTGAATACATGGGTTTCTCCACATCCCAGAATTCTAGATGCTTCCAGTTTGCTGTTCTAAAGACCTAACAATTCTGTTTTGTGAATACCTGAAATAAGTGTTTTCCCATAACTTTTACTCATGTATGATGCTGAAGTTCTGTGCTCCACAGTAACAGCCTGAGGTAGTTCTCCCTGCTCGTGTAAAAGTCCCACTGATGGACTTAGTTCAAGGCCTATGAAGAATGAAGGATCAAATCCAAAATGTTTTCTAAATTTAACATCATGCATTTTGGGAAGAAGGCCTAAATATTCAGCTGTTTGCCAAGCAGAGTTGCCCCTCACCATATATGTGTGGCACTGGATTATTTACAGGGTTTCAAATTTGAGTCAGCAGCTGAAACAGCCATGCCAAATCCAGTTCTCTGCAGTACGAGTGAGAAAAAATATTCAAATGAAAACTGGAGCTTTCAATCACTAGAGCTCCTTTTGCTGATTTACATTACATTCAAGTATTTTGCTTCAGAAAAATCAGTGCATGTTAATGTGACACAAAGAGCAATTGTAATCTTCACCAGTAGTGTTACAATTTATTTTTATTCCCTGCATTCATTTATCCTGCAGTGGAAATGTCTCACAAGCACTGTACCTGCTCTAGCAAAAAAAAAGAGCAGCCCACTAATTTACTGAAACATGCTGCCTAAAGGAGGAGGGCTCTTCTTCCTGCATATAGGAAAGAAGTACATTATCTGCAGCAGTACAAACTTTCACATGAGACATCCCAGCAGTGAGGTGTTTTTTGTTAAATAAACTACTCTGAATTTTAGAGGGAAATGGTAATAGTGACACGTGAATTTCATTAATTATATAGGAAGAGGGAGAGGGGTAGAAATATTGCAAGTCACCACAAACCAGTAGCAGCCTGCATGGTTCACTATAAGTACTGTAGGTGGATCATCAGATTGCTGTCCAGGTGCCAAGTTACTATCATCCATTATGTGGAGGCTCTTAAGCATACTAATTTAACTTTAAGAGATTAAAATTGTACATCAGAATTAATTTTAAAAATATTCATGCGTTAAAACTTAACATTTCTAAACATGTATTAAATAAGTTTTTGTGGAGGGTTGTTCGGAATCTATTGCTGTGCTTACAGAACAGCAGTTTTCTATAGTTTGCTAGACTTGGCAGGGGAGAAGTTTTGAAATTATATCACTAATTTCAAGGGTAGGAGAGGTACAGGAGCTTCATTTATAAGAAGGCAGCAGCTGCCACTTTCTCAATAGATTTTGCTGGATTTGTGGAGGGTTTTTTCTTTTTTTTTTTGTGAGTAAGATGCTGTGAATAAATATCTCTAATCTAAGATGATCTGAGTTTAATAGCTTGTCTGGTCCTTCAATAAGTTTTGAATGTAACATTAAGTAGGGCAAGGCCCCAGCTAAGATGAGTTTTTTTCCTTAAGCATTGTATATGTATATGGTTAAGATTGTTGTCAGTCTTTGTACAGCATAATGAAATGGGGAAGCGTGATACAACTGCCAAGTATGATTATTGTAATGTTATATAATATACTGTCATGTTATCTTTACAGAGTCCACAGAGACATACTCACAGCATGTTGAGACTCTTGGCAGTACCACCACCACCAGTACAATACCAATCTGTAGATCCTCAGAAGAAGAAAAAAAAATTACAGTCATTAAAGCTCCACATTATGCAGGGATTGGCCCAGTGGATGAATCTGGAATCCCTACAGCAATTAGAACGGTAGGAAATTCTGGGAATCTGTGTATGAACTCATACAATGAATTGATTGTTGGTAATGCATTCTTCTAGTCTTATATAATGTGGAATACAGTGTGCGTAATCAGCGAGCTCATGAATATAATATTGTGTGCTGACGGAAAAGGAGAATGCTGATGGAAGCATAATTGGGCAACCTCCTGTTTCTAGTTTTAATTAGAAGTAGCCAAAAATTCATGTCTCTTTCTTGCTTCTCTTGTAGTTCTTGCCTTTTGGAGATAGGCAGTAATTGTATTGTTTTGTTATTTCTAAAATAACCTTTAAACATACTTTATATATGCATGCAAGTATACATGTATACTTGTGTGTGTGTTTATAAAAATCTCATGCTTCTGCATTTTTGGGGGCAATGGTTCTCGTGTCGTCATGGTAGTATGGAAATGAATAGTTTTGTTCTGATAATAATCTAAGTGACTATCATTTTGGTGGAAGCGCAATATATAATCACTGTGCCCTTGAGTGACATTTAAACGAACAGCATGGAAGCTCTTTCATTGTGCCTAGCCCAGTTTTGATCATCTGGCACTAGTTACTGCTTGAGCGGTCCCCGGATGTCAAACTGAGGAGTTTTGTTTTCACTATGCTGAAGCATTCTTTCCACTCTGCTGTCAGGGCAGCCTCTTCTGGCTGGTCCAGAGAGCACAGTGGCAGCTGCACTAAGTCTGGGGAGGAGTGCTTACTGGCCTTCCCAGCCAGAGAAGTTCTGTGCTAGACGGAGAAAGAGTAAGAAGAGTGGGAGCCACGATGAAAGCGACAGAGCCCTTGCAGGTGAAGTCTTTTTGAGGTGCAAGGATGTAGCAGCTGTTGGATGTACCCTCTGCCAGTACTGACATAGGGGGATGCGTTGCATTGTCAAGAACTGCTTCAATGGATTAAAAAATTAGGGGGGGAATCAGGAATTGATGGAGAAAAGCAATAGGAAAAAAACAGAATAAGTGGTAAGATGGGAACAATTTTGATAAGAATGGGGGGAAACTGTGGCATTTCTTGCTTTACTTTTGACAGTAAAAGTAATGCAATTAGAATCTTTTAAAAATGAAATTTCTTTGCAACAATGCTCTAGCTTCCTACCCCCTTTTTAAGTAAATAGTTCCTATGCTTTATATAAGATAATTATTTTTGTTCTTTTTTAATTGCAGATTGCTCTAATAGGGTGTATATCAGTTATATAAGATTATAACAGAAATCCCCCTCAAGTGTCTTTTAACAGAGTTGGCAACCTGCCAACCTATATTTAACTTTCGGATTGTGTGGTCTGAGTCTCTCGGATTTTCTCCTAAAAGCGTAACTTAATTTGAATTAGGACATTCTTCACCTGGATTTGCTCTGGTTTTTGTTGTGTTTCCATTTCAAACTATCTTACAGCTTGTAAACTTAGTATTGTAGAAATGATTCGCACAGTGAGGTGTGAGCTAAAAGATTATGCTAGCACATGTGTGTAAGTGTTTGTCTCGTGCCACTTTGTGTGTTCTTAGGACTTAGCTGGAAGTGAGATGGTTTTAAACTTATTTATTTGAGATCACATTTCAAATGTGCATGAGTATATTTGAGCCTTGTATACCCCAGTCATGCAAGAACATTGTTACACCTCTCAGAAGTGCAATACTATGCAAAATCATGCAAAAATTTTACAACTGCATTTCCCACAAACAGTAGAAGGTAGGATGTATCACTCGCTCTTCCTCCAATGTCAGTAAGCAATCCAAAAAGGAATCTTCTCCCATAAAATTCAGCTTCACTCCATCTGGAGAGAGAGAGAGAAGTTTTCACATTAGTTGAGTTTATTGTTGCATGCAAGGTTTAAAAGTTTCTTATTCTTCCATCTTTTTGAAAATAGTGACAGTCTATCAAAAAATCAGTAAATGCAGATTCATGGGTGATAGGTAACATACACACTGTGTACCAAAACGCTATGCTATTCAAAGGTAAGCTTGTTAATAAGAAGTTGGGAGTATCTGTATTCAAGATTTGGAGTGCTTTTCAGGAGTAGAGAGATTTTCAAGCTGTGATTATCTCCTCCAAGTCTGTCTTTACTTTCAGAACATGGCTTGTGACAGCTGTTTAGCCAAGGAAATTAGAACGATGTTCTCTTTCTATTCCTGCAAACCCTCTCTGTCCAAAGCTGCTCAAAGGGGAAGGATTCCTATAAAGATTTCCCTTCTCTCAGAACGTTGATCCCATGTTGGCATGTTCCCTCCGTACCACTTCGGCTCCTCCCAGCTCTGGGAAGTGCAATTCTGAAGCCTGAAAATTCAGATCATTGTTAAGTTCTGCCACCATGCCAAGCCCTGCCCCAAAGATGTTGAAATTCCAAGGCATTAAAAATGAAGTCTTTGGAAAAGAAAGGACAAAATATGTTCACTCAGAAAAGTATTCAGTCAAATGGCACTACCAGACTTCACCACCAACAGGATCCTGGGAAAACAAAAAACAGGTTCATGGAAAGCAGTATGACTGCAAACACAGAAGGCCCACTGAAAGTCATAAACACCTCTTTTAATTGCATCGTTTCTGATGGATTATAGGAATACTGCAGTGATTATGGACTTTCCTAAGTACCAACTGCAGGTACTACTTCTGTCCTCTCTTCATGCTATTTGGCTGATTGTTCATTCACATATGATGATACCATATTCCAACATTTAATTGAAACAATATATAATATATGCAAAGCCGGATGGCATCTGAATGGTCTGGTGTGTTGTGAATACTTCTGATTTCTCAAACAAAGACTGGTATGTGGGATTAGTGAATATAAATTAAGTAAATGTATTTTTAAATTAATTTGTTCCTTAACTAATCCTATCTGGCTTATAATGTAAAGACAAATTATTGGCTGAGGCTTTAAACCCCAAGGTGAGGAGGGAGATGATGAGAGAAAAACGTTCAAATGTCCAGAAAGATGTTGGGAGGCTGCCTTCTCTGGTCACCTGGGAGTTTATCCATACCTGATCTCTGTGTGGAAGCCTCCTGTGGATTTGTGGAGGACCTGACTGATAAAGAGGATCTGGCAAAGTGGTATCTATGCATCTTTGTCCCTTGACAAACAGTAGGATCACAGCAGTTTACAATTTTTTCACCTATCACTGATTCAAGCTCTATTGGAAGACCCTTCTTGGCCCAATACAATTAGAAAGGAAGTTGAAGTATCACAGGACCACTGCAGGTTTCTGTTGCTGTGGGAAATGAGTACCACCACAGAGGTTATGCCCATCAACATGAATTCCTTGAGACCTTCTGGGCCTCCTTGTAAACTTTTGAATATATGTGATATTGGAGCACCAAACCAGCATAGTTGTTTCAAATCCAGCTGAGTTATTCTTACCAGTATTCCACAAGTATAGATGTATATATACCTTTAGGGAAACAATGTTAAATCAAAAAGTGTGATTCACTAAAAATGGCATGGTGCCAGAAGAACACACTCAGATCTGGAGAACTGAATTAGTGGATTTTCACTTTTCATGGTAACGAGGAGTGGGCAGAGTGTTTGCAGAGTTAGTACTAGCTAATGCAAGATAATGCACATTAAGACAGGTCCGTTGAATTATCCCTGTGCACCATGAGGCTTCAAGATAATTTTGTACATCTGCATTAAAACTTGCTTTTCTGACTACAGTGGAACACACAAAATTTTTAAGACCTAAGAACAACACTGAGCAATACTGAAAACACATTTGCCTTTGTGTTATCTCCTTTTCTGAAATATTATCATCCTATCTCAAAGAAAATGACAAAAAGAAGAGAAAATGCAGAGAAGAGTGAGAGATAAAAAGAAGTACAAGCAAATACTGATATAAGTAGAGTTTGGAAACTTTGCTTAGTTTACAAAAGTAAGAATAAATACAAATTCATGAGTGGTTATTGAAAGGAATGTTGTATTCAGTTTTCTCAAAATAGAAAAATAATTTAAAACTAAGTTGCCTGGAAAGGGAATTTAGAACTGATGAAAGGAAATACCATTTGTTTACAATCTGAATATTAGCTCTTAAATATAATGTTGTCTTAATTCTCTTCTCAGTAGCATTCAAAAGTTTTTCTCCATTATTTATTATTATATTTTGAAAATAATCCATGTCAGGAATTGCCAGGAGTTCAAAAGAAGCTTTTTTTACACTCTTGTAATTGCTGAGGTGTTTGTATTTTACTGTAAAGTATCTAGCATTCATCATGGTCAAATATAGGGCACTAAGAAGATAAACTCTTGATCTGGCACTAATTCCTATGTTCCTAACCACTGTACCCTCCAAGATCAGACTCCAAAACTGACTCAGTCTTCAGTGTCTTCCAGAACTTTTTACAGGAATTCCTAGATGAAAAACATAAATACGCAATTTGAAATAAATGGTATGAAAATTATTATATTAAAAAGGGAACAAACCACAACAGACTTTGTGTCCAGAATAACATTAAATGTCTGATCAGATCTGTACACACAGGGGTTTTGTTGGGTGGGGTTTTTTTTGTTGTTGTTTTTAATAGTTGAAAATTCTGTTTTATTTAGACAGTCGACAGGCCAAAGGACTGGTACAAGACAATGTTCAAGCAAATCCATATGGTTCATAAGCCTGGTAAGTATGCTTTCGTCATGGCTGGGTCATTCTCAGTGGCATTAAAAAATTCACTTTTCTGCATTTTGATTGTCTGCTATGTGAAAATACAAGTGTTCACCAAGTGTCAGATAATGAATCAAAGCAAATGGGTAAATTTGAGTTTACTGCAGAGTACGCTATTTTCCTCTGCTAAAGGCTTAAAATTTCTAATGTGTTTATTACTAAAACGAAACAAAAATGAAAGTGATTATGATACCAGTATGATTCCATGTCACTGAGAGCTCAGTGAAGTGATCCCCATCTCCACTTTAAAGGATGAAAAATTGGTTGCTGTAAATCTCCTACCCTACGAGCTTTCTTTTGGAGAGCTCATGTGTTAGAACAGCTGAATATAAAATGTAAGCAGGAAAATTTTGGCTTACAAGATCTATTTTGAACACTAGTCACAAAGTAGATATTTGAGGTTGCTTTTTGTGAAAGGAACAACGGCTCTGGTACAGGGGAGCTGACTAAAGGAAGAAACTGAGCTTGAGGAAGGGAGGAGTATTGATAGAAAGCTATAATTTGCAATTCAGTGCTAACCAGTAAGTATGCAATATAGGTGACATGACCAGAAGATACCGTTTTACCGGTAATATGGTAAGTTGGCCTACGGTAAGTATAATGGGACAGGAGAGTCTTCAGAAAACACCTATGAAAGGAGGAAAAGAAATACAGAGCTTGATTGCCTACCAAGGTGCTGTTCGTATTTGTAAAAAACAAATCTGCATTGCTGTGACAGACTGGCTTGTATTGCATTATTGTAACATGGCTTGGTTTTTTTTTTTGTAGATGATGACACAGACATGTATAATACTCCATATGCATACAGTACTGGTAGGAATTATTCCCTTGCTTCAAAATGAGTCTTTTGTTAACGTGAGCAAGTAACAGGGGGAGTTAACTATTCATGTTTGCTTTTACAATGCTTATATAAACACCTTTTATCATCTTGTTTGATCTCAGTTGGTGTTTTTTCATGCCTTTTTTGCCAAATCAAACAGTTTAATTTTGGTTTCATTTTTACCACAGAAATGAATTGCAGCTGTGGGCCTCTTACTGCAGATGGGATACAGCGTAATACTGTAGTTTCTTGCATTTATTTTCACTAGTGATTGTGAGTAACACAGCCTTTCCTTATCAAAATGGAAAGGGAACTGCTGTGTGAAATTGCAAATGCTAATTACTGACCTGAGAAGACAAAAAGGTTGTACTGACAACAACTTTTAAAATATGCAGTAAGAGCGTCTAGTAAAGATGATTCTGGTTTATGATCTTTTCATTTTTGCTATAGGCACAGCTGTTGACATTATTTGGCTGCGAGAAAGACATATTCATCAAAGATATATAATTGTTGTGTCTTTCAGAAGATTATAACCATGTGGTAAAATTATTTACAAAAACAAAAATGAAAGTGTGAGTGGAGTATATGTGCAAAAACCCCATAGTGCCTCGTGCAAAAAGACCATTAAAAATGCTTCCATTTCAGTGTTTGTTACATTCGATGTGCTCTCATACTGCCTTTTTCTGTTTTGTTGAGAGCATTTGTTGTGGGTCAGTTGTTTGAGATCTGTTTGGACTCTTGTGATCCTCGTCAAGTTACACTGTTGCCTAATTGTCTCAGATTAACAGTAATTATTAAAACAATGGGGAAAAATGTTCATTTCCTGCCTCTTTCTTCTGAACATAGAACAACTGAGAGACAGGATGAGCTTGCGGAGTAATTACAGGCTGTCATTAGCAGCCCTGATGGATATATGCATCAGAGCTGTTACTGAATTATTAATTAACATCTAAATTAATCATTAATTTGTTTTAACTATACTGCATTTTATCTGTGTGTTTGTAGATTTATATAGAAATATATTAAAAATATTCTAATGAGCTACATAGAGTACAGCAATGTACTTTCAAAAATGCATTTACATACTTTTGTAACCTTACACCTTTATTGGGTAATGGTGGATTCTTGTAACGTTCCATGTTGCCTTTTATTAAAACACATTCTGATGCTTTGACTGTTTCTGGTTTTGTTTTATATCAGGTTCCTACAGTCCATCCTTCTCTGCTCAGGCACACCCAGCTGCAAAGACACAGACATACAGACCATTGTCTAAAAGCGCTTCTGACAGTAGCTCCGATGCCTTTAAGGTCTCGTCCCCTTTACCACCTCCACATGTGCCACCTCCAGTACCACCACATCGTCTGAGGGAAAGGTCTACATCAGAAAAGTAAGTTGCATACTTTCAAAAAGTGTTTTTGGTATGTAGAGTCATTCAATTACAGGGTATCACATCGGATAAAATAGAAGGTGTAGAACAATATGACTTCAAGGGCTTTATTCAAGGGATGGTCCGATGAGAGGGGTAATCTTCATCACTAATGTGGGCATCATGCGTAGTGCTGCCATTTCTTCAACATGCTTTTTCTTACAAGTGATACCAGCATGAGTGTTTAAGATTTTTATTACTGGGATTGTCCTGCTTGTTGCATTTCAGCTTGATCCATGCTCTAGCAGCTATCTTGAATCGTTAGTCTCTGAGTAGGAAAAGCTACCTATAGTATCCAGTAGAAAGGAGAAGAGATCTAAAAGATGTTGGAAACTGAAATTCAAGTAAGAGCAAAACTGTAAAAGTGCAGCAGTCAACCTGCTTTTCCCCAGAGCTCAGAAGTGCTTTATATCCCCATTTTTTCAACTTCCATCTCCATTTTGGTAGACCAAGAAAGCATTTACAGATTAAAGGGGCGTTTCAGGTTTCTCATGGTTTTCCAGCTTCAAACTTGCTGCACAAAATCAGGTCCCAGTAGCTAGAGTCCAGTCTGGAAAAGGTTAATAATAACGCAGGAAATAAATGCTTATCTTCCTGATAAAACCATGCAAAGTGCCATGCACAGGAACTCTGTAGACTTTTCAGCATAACTGCACCTACTAGCTCAAGCAAAAATCTTTTTCTTTAGCATTTACATTCATAAATACAACATGTTAAGATAATACTATGTCATTATACATTTTTTTATATATGTATATATATTTAATGTATGAAGAGGGTAATTTTTTATTCTGTTAGTGGCTACAAACACATCCTTTTTGGTTACACTCAAGCAACAAAAACATAATTTGCCCATTTTTTTAGCTTGTACATTGTAAGCATTTTTATATGTAGAAATTTAATTAAACAGTTTCAAATAATTTGCAGTCTGAATAAAATAGTATGAGAAAATACCATACTAAGTGTTTAGACTACGAACTGTAGGTAGTGGCAATCCAGCAGATACACATACTGCAGAAAATTAGATTGCTCGACAGTTACTGATTTTTGGCTACTCCTGTTGCTTGAGGGCAGGTTGTCAAGAGGAAATGCTAGGGGTTAGAGTTGGGCTGCTTCCCAAAGGCCATGAGGTTTGTATTTTGTTAGCAAGTCATACAGAAGTGTAGATTTTGTTAGCAGGGCACCACAATGTGGATCTGCTTAGCTTTGGTCTCTGAAGTTATGTGAGTCATCATCCTGTGCTAGGCCAAAAGCCTTCGTCACAGAAACTGAGGCTTGTTGCAGTTTCTTTTGTCAAGCTTGAAAATAACTGCTTCAGCATTGAATTTGGTTGTTTAGCATCTCCTTTTAATCTCACACATGGTAAGACAGGCAGTGGAAATCTACGTTCTCCAGCCCAGGGGATGCCAAACGCGTTAGTTATGCTTTGCCTGCTGCTGACAGCTCTAGCTCGTCAATCTTTTCCTGCCATTGGGAGATTTTTTTTTTAATTGCCTATGAAGCCTGAGTATTTAAAATCTCACATAAGAGGCTTAGGTCCACATGTACCACAGTTTTGTAGCTGGGAGGCAAGATATGGTTTACATTAACAGTTGGGCTCAAAAATATAGTCCATAAGGGATTACAGGCTGAACACTGCAAATTAGGTGAACTGAGTGAATTAGAATTTCAGTAGCATCCTTTTTACTTCAGTGACTTACAGCATAATGCAACTTTATCAGAACATTTCCATTTTCCTGTTCATTCTCAAAAAACACAACCTTTTCTGCCCTGAAACTAGTTTTTTCCTCAGTGAAAATAAACAACAGAGCCATGTAGAACCACTTCCCTTGAAATGTAGGGCATTTTATAGCGGTGTCTGTGTCCCAGAAATTGCACTCACAAATGTACTGTAAACAAAAGCTACCCCATAGATTTTTTTTTAAGGGACTTGACATGTGCCTTATTATGTCAGGTCACATCAAACCAAGTCACATCAGAAAAGCTGATAGAACTGATAGAATTTCGTCTCTGTATGCTCTTTCTTACTGTAAATACAGACAATAGCTTGATAGGATTACCCTTATCCTTTCCCCCATTCTTTGAGTTACTAGTACATCATTTTACACAGGGCTAAATAAAGAGAAGTGTGAGCTACAGTTTTCCAAATACAGGATAGGTAGCAACTACAAAAACTGCCATGAAAAGGTAGTTCTCACTGTGATAAGTAACTAAGTAACTATCCCCAAAAAATGTATATGAATAATAGCATGGTAAGTGACTGAAAAAAATACAATAGTAGTAATTACTTTTTATTCTTTGCATAGCACTACTAAAATGGTAGCAAATTTGTAACTGTAGAGAAACTGGGTAACTTTCTTTCTCAGAGTCAGCTGCCAAATTCTTGTTCTTGTTTATCTGTTTGAATTTCCAAGGAAACAGTATACTGCTTACAAGGATATTAAGAAGCAGTTCTACTGCAGATCAGGATAAAGAGCATCTATTGGGTTGTCAAACTGTCTTAAAATAATTCCTCATTTTTTTGTCTCAGAAAATTTTGTAACTTTTTCAACACAGACTTACATTGTGTGATAGCAAAAATATCTACCTCTTGCCTATATTAATGTAGTGCATAAAACAAGTATAGTAAATTTGCAGTTTGAGAAGGAATCTCATGGTATTTTGCCACAGTATGTCAGGGAAGTTTTTAAACTGGTCTACCAGTTATAACAAAAGTATGAGTGATCACAGTATGCTGGACACAGCCATAGGCTGGACATAACCATAGGCTGGAATGGCTTTAAGCTGAAAGAGGAGAGATTTAAATTAGATACAAGGAAGAAATTTTTCACTATCAGGGTGGTAAGACATTGGAACAGGTTGCCCAGAGAAGCTGTGGCTGCCCCATCCCTGGCAGTGTTCAGGACTAGGTTGGATGGGGCTTTTAGCAACCTGATCTAATGGAAGGTGTCCCTGTCCATAGTGGGGGGCTGGAACTAGATGAGCTTTAAGGTCACTTCCAACCCAAACCATTGTATGATTCTATGATACAATCCTATGATATCTCTAGTATTTTTCTCAGTACTCTGCAGTACTGAATATACTTGCTGTAAATGATTTAAGATGATACAGTGATTAAAACATTTGAATGCTAGGCCAGAAATTTCACAACTGAAATCTGGAAAGAGAAACCATGCTGAAATTCGTTTGGGTTTGCATGTTTCTCTTGCTCAGAGGTGTAAAGCAGATGGTGATGACAGCACATTGACTCAATTGCCCCTATATTTTATTTAGAAATGACTGGGATCCCCCGGACAGAAAGGTAGATACCCGCAAGTTCCGCTCCGAGCCAAGAAGTATTTTTGAATATGAGCCAGGAAAATCATCAATCCTTGAACATGAAAGACCGGTAAGACACGTAAGTGGAATGGGTAATACAGTAAGAGCTTTGGTGAGAGGTCATCTTTTTATTATTTACTACTGATTATAAATACTTAGATTAATTTTGAAGGTGCTTTTTCAAATATGATTTTGCAGCAGTCTGTGCTCTTTCCTGATTACTGGGTTGAAAATGGAGGTTTAGCTTATTTGCTGACCTTAGATCTTCTGCTATTTCCAAGAAATCAAGCCACTACTGTGTAAATAAGCAGAACTGTGAATTAACGGAAACTGCTTTTCTAATTGGCATGCATCACCAGCACTCATTTTGACTGGCATTGACAGCACATATGATGATTAATTAATGCATTAAAATAATCTAGTTGCGTTTTCAGGATGTGCCTAATTGTACACAAAAAGAGATTTTGGCCAAGTACTGGTCAAGGTTGCCCAGAGAGGCTGTGGAATCTCCATTTCCGGAGGTGTTCAAGACTCACCTGGACACAGCCCTGAGCAACCTGACCTGGTTAGACCCACTTTTAGCAGGAGGTTGAACTAGATGACCTCTGGAGGTCCTTTCCAGCCTCAATTACTCTGTGATTACTCAGTGTACACTAACATGTAACTAGAAGTCTTTATTCCTGCTTTCTGAATAATGATAGCAATTGTGGAGTTTTTCACAAGCATGTCTGATAAATCTGTGCTTAATGCATGCAAAATTACCATTAACAGAAGAGTTTGTTTACTGAAAGATAGATTCATTCAGCCTTTTTAATTTACCTTTGTGCTGTCTCAATACTTTCTTATTTTAGGAAAACAAAAACATTCATGTAATCAATACTGAATTATTATTTGCTTCTGTATTACTGTATTACATGTTTGTTCACAGAATTAATTTTACTAATATAAAATTCATTAAGCAGATAATTGAATTCCAGAATATGTGGTATTTCAACAGTGTGAAACACCTTTACTAAGCACCTTTCCCTTGTGTTTTAATGGTCTTTGCAGGAACATAATTGTCATTAACTAGAAAATACTAAACTGTGTTTCTGTGAAATTAAGTTCTTGCAGAACTGACACATTTTTCAAAGAGGAAATTGGCTCTTCTGTAGGAACTGCTAATTACTCAGTATGATTAAATGGGACTTAGTATTTATTGTGATGATGAAGTTAACAAATAATTCCATATGAAAGGTAATGGCATTTATTCTGAGCACTTTTTTGATTGCCATGGCTACATTATACACATTGAGGTCATTTACCAGCCTTCCCAATGCCAAAGAATAACAGCAGGCTCAAGATAAAAATAAGAAAATTACAGTGGTATTTCACGAATAGCCTCAGTTTTCTAATAAATTATATTTTCAACTAATGTAATGTGAAAAAACATTCAAATGGAATTGCAGTGCAGATATATTTTTTCAATTTTAGCAAACCAATGAAATTAAAGAAAGTGAGCTTTGCTGACTGTTCCTGAATCCTTTTTTTTTTAACTTGTTTATGCAGTTTTTTATGTTCTTAATCAAGAGATTGGCTTTTGAGCTTTGGTCCTTAAAACATTATCATGCAGAAAAGCCTTAGTCATGCTGTACTTACTCAGCAGCATCAGTCAAGGCCAGGATTACACTTTATCAACTGAAGATTAGACTAGAAGTTTAGATGTAGCCAATGTAAATACACAGAAACATCTCTTTGTAGGACAAATTTTAAAAGCTGAGGAAATTATACCCATGGACAAAATGGAGAGGATTTTTATTTATGTATGATTCAGAGCCTTAACGATTGGAAAACAGGAATTAATACAAGAGATTACAGTTGTGCTGACACTAGTGTAATGTTATTAACTGATATAAAATAGTTCCAGTGAGCTATCACAGTTTTATCAACCTGGAATTTCTGCTGTCGGTAAAGATGATGTTTAGCTTTATGGATTTAGGTACTTCCTTTGAATCATGTTCCAGAAAGAAATAGATTCGGTTTCACCAAAGCATTTGCTTTCCTTGTGCTCACTGAATGGGTTGTGGAAGGCAAAACTCATGACTTCTTGAAGACTGATCAGCAGAGTAGGTCGAAAGACTTTGTGTGTAGGAAAACGTGACATCTGAAAACAACGCATTAATTCCAAATTCAGTTGAAAACTCTGAATTCTCAACTCTGTCAGTATTGCATGAGTTAAAGTCTTTCATCCTGATAATCTTAGAATTTTTTATTACTTTTAATGTCTTAAAAATTGTTCTGATGATACTGAAAGAAAACACTAATCAAAATATGGAATATAAGAATAGTTCATTAATACTGTAAAAGATGAACATTTATGGCATCTGAACTACAAATTTTTTTACCTTATTAGTTTTGCCAAAACAAAAAAAGTCAAAGGGAGTTTCTCCAACACTTCAAATCTTAAAATTTTTTGCTGAAATGAAATAATTTCCATGTCTACAGGATTGGAGTTCTGATATTAAAATGATCACCAAAAAAAATTTACCGTATATGATGTTAGACAGGGCAGATGAGGTTTGAAAGATCAGCATTCCCTTTATTGATGTAGGTACTACACTAGAACCAGTTGTGATTAATGTGGAGGTTAGAAACACAGGAAGAATATAATAAAATGAGATTCAATATAAAACTAACATTTCATGGGAAATGTTATTCAGCAGATAGCATTCAACAGGTCAAAAGAATGTGAGAAATAATAAACCTAAAAAATGACCTAATAATAGACATTAAATGGATTGATTGGTTAGGGATTGATGATTATCTTTGGTAGGGATATGAAAAGATGAGTGTAATTTCAAGCTGCAGTATCATGTAGCAACCTACTGTCATGCAGCAGGAAATTAATGCTTTTTCTTCTGTAATTTCAACTTGTAAGAGTATAAAACATCAACAAAAAGGAGAGGCTTGAGATTACAACTAAAAGTAAGTGACATTAAGCTGTTGAATAATCTTCCAAGCAACAATGTGTCAGATCCTTTTTTCCTATTTCAATAAACTCATAAAACATTACCTTTTCTTCTAATATCATAGCACCGATAAGGTGGTACATAAGTCGTTCAGATTTATGTTTCTATCTCTAATGTCTGCAATTCAATAAAACACTCTTCTTTTTCTCTATTATCATCTGAACCACGGATTTGTTTCCTAATATAGATGTTTACTTTCAGTGAATAAGTAAATTGCAATGCAATAATTTCATCTTACTCATATGAAGTTAGATTTTTATTCTATACTAGTTTAACTTTGTATATGTGAAGCAATTCCTTCATACATGTACATTTCTCTATTTCTGCAGTAAAGCAAGTTAAGGAAAGAGCTTAGTGTTGCTGTAAAAAATGACTTTGTAAAATTGGTACAAGCAATAGATGCCTTTATTTTTATTACCTGTTTTAAACTAAGCATGAAAGTACACATGTGCTAGTCAGATAAAACTTGTCAGGTTAAATTTTAATTCTATAATTTTTATATATATATTCAGTTTATAAGTCTTCTACTGAGTTTGTATGCAAAAGGATTTCATGATCTGAATACATTAAAGAACATGACTGTTTTGTGAAATACCAGAAATAGCCAGAGCTTGCACCATGATGTACATCTGTTGATTTGGGGTTGATTTGGGGTTGTTTGGGGTTTTTTACTGTAGTGGAAAATTTGAAATTTTGTTTAGAATATGCAAGTTTTATCTCAAACTGGTTATCAGAGTATTGTGTTGGGTGTTAGTTACTTGAGTTAGTTACTCTGTCAACTAAAAAAGAATATCTCAGTGTGTTTTAGAAAGAAATCAGGAATTCTATATATAGGTTTGTTTTGAAATGACATTAAGAAGTATGTCTTCTCATAAACATATGGAGAGATGAAGTCAATCTGGACTTGGAGTCACAACAGCTATTAAAAAGTAGTCCAAAAAGAAAAAAGGAAAAGCAAAAGGAAACATTAGAGCTAATAAAATGTCAAAGCCAAATTTACAACAGACATCTCAGTCTATTGTTCCAAAGAGGCTAAAATGCAAAATATTAATTTGACCATGCAGATCCATGGTTAATAGTGAGAAACATGTAACTCGCCAGTTTAAATGCCCACTTTTGATTGAGTGTCTACTTGTGTTTATCACAGGCAAAACTGAATACAACATTATAGTTGTAATTTTTTTCAATGACACTGTTGTGTTGTACTTGAGTATGTTGATGCAGTGCAGTGCTGATCATCTGATGCAAATGCCAAAAAGAATAAAGTTACTTACTGGTCTTTAGTAGTATATTTTCAACAAATAATGAAATGTTACTAAATAACTAGATGAAGGATATGGTTTGACTGACAGGTCATAAAAAGGAAATTCACTTGCTGCTTTTACCTTCTATTCAAGCAGTTTGGGAGACACAAAAACCAAGCTCAGTTCACTTTTTAAAGTCAAAATTATTTGTTCATTTTAAGTCTCTTCGAAGGGGAGATAATAAAAAAGGTCCATCAGCAAAACTGAATATGAAATCCGAGAGAAATCAATTGCCTGTGTATTGATCTTGGTAGAACAGGGAATGCGGAGTCCTCTCTAAAATGCCTGGCAGCAGTGGACTTGCAGACCTCAGGGCTGAGTTTCTTTTTGTGTGCTGCCCTCTGCAGTTTAAACTGTAAATAAAAGTAGGAATTCTGGGCATGGAGTTAGCTTTACACGCTTTCTTATGCTCTCATTTTATTTGCACACTACTCCATGAGAACAACTCAAAAACTTAGAAACTACATAAAATACACTACCTCTAACTTTTTCTTTACAAGCTGAAAATCTTTTTTTTAAAGCTTTCAGCTAATTGCAAGAGTATTTCAATATTAAAAGGGAGCCAACTCCCATTCTCATGTTTATCTCCTTGGCTAGCTGGGTGGAAGCTCATCTGCTCTGATGGCGCGTTCTGGCTCCCTTCAGTAAGGAACAACAGTCTGTCAGTGTGTAGGTGTGGAGCTGCTGCTATCCAGGGGACCTTGAGGTTCACAAGGGCTGATATTTGCTACCCAAGCAAGTAATGTCAGTAAGCCTGG